CTCTCCTGTTGCGGAGCACAGGCTCCGGACGCGCAGGCTCAGTGGCCATGACTCACGGGCCCAGCCACTCCGCTGCATATGGGATCTTCCCGGACTGGGGCACGAACCCGTGTCCCCGGCATCGGCAGGCAGACTCTCAACCACTGCGCCACCAGGGAAGCCCCACGCTTCTTTTGATACGGACAATAGCACACTGTGCTGCACAGCTCACCGTGCCAAGGTGAGGATGGGGCGGCATCCCTGGGTCCCAGATGTGGGCCCTGGGCCTGTGCCACATCCACTGTCTCTTCCCAGGGCCTCAAGCCACCGGCCTCGGGCTCCGTGGACACCTATTGTCGAAGCCAATCTGCTGCCTGGGGCCAGCAAGGTGAGGGCGAGACACAGGCCCCTACTGCTGTCCCTTGGCCGCACACCCAGCCTGGAGCACCCACCTGGCCTGCCATGCCCCTCTTCCCCAAGGCCTCGACCTCAGACGGGGAGCCCCCTGTTGCTGGGATGTGCAACTAGAGGCTATATGATGGAGGGGGACCAGCCTGGGGCCCTGGGGCCCGACAAGGCTCTGACCCTCCCTGCTCAGACCCCAGGCCAGCCAGCCGCGGACACGCATGGTTTGGGGCACAAGGGGGCCTGTGTGGGAGGAGGCACTCATGGCTTCACCCTCCAGGACACCAGGCGCAACACCCTGTGGCGAGGATAGGGCCTGGGCCACAGGGGGGCAGGGCCAAGGTGGGCGTGAGGGCTTGCCTGGCCAGGTCTGACCTGCGTGGCCACCAGGCTCTGCGTCTGGGAGGACCCACGACTGCAGCAACGGCGGCGGGCGCCTCCCCTGCGGGAGCTGCGGGTGCCCCTGTGGAAGCTGGTGCCCAACCAAGCCAGGAGCTTCGATGTGTGTCTGGAGAGGCGGAGGCTGGTGAGTGAGCTGGTGCACAGGGTGGGGCATGCAGCGGGGGAGGCCTGGGCAGTGTGCAGCCAAGGGGACCGGGCTCTCTGCTCTTTCAGACCAAGAGGCCCAAGAGCCTGGACACAGCACGTGGCATTTCTCTGTATGAGGAGGTGGGTGGGACGGTGGATTCCAGCGAGGATTGGGGGGGCAGGTCTGGGCTGGCCCAGGCTGAAGTGTGTCAGGCTGGGATTGATGTGGGCTGGACAGGGGTCCAGGCCCAGGCAGGCTTGGAGAAACTGAGGCCATCTCGCTCACCGGCCCTGTGAGCGCTCATAGTCTCAGGGAGCAGCGAGGCCCCAGGGGCTGGGCAGAGGGTGACTTCCCCTGCCAGGGCAGCCCAGGGGAGCTGTGGGGCACTGACACAAGCCCTCAGGGGACAGAAACACAGGCCAGCTTGAGGCAGAGGCTGGAGCCACTGGGATTTGTCCCTGCCCTGAGCTGGGAGGGCAGGTCAATGTCCGGGAGAGAATGGATATGGTGGGGCTGCGCAGCTGCTAGGTCTGCCCAAGGCAGTATGGGTACCACACTCCTGGGGCTGGTAGTCACAGACACAGGGCCTTGGCAGGAGGAAGTGATGGTGACCGCAGGGGATTTGCAATAGGAAACCAAAGACCTGGGCAGAACCCCTGCAGCCCAGCAGGCCCCCGACACCTGCAAGGCTGAGGCAGGGCCCTCCGCAGCTCCTCAGGGCCAGAGGGCCAGGTGCTGCTGCCGCATCCCCTAGTGGAGCTGCATGTTGCTGCGACTGTCAGTCAGTCAAGGCAAAGCTGTGGAGCCCTACCGGGTGGGGCAGGGACACACCACAAGCACTTCCTGGCCCAGACCCTGCACAGCAGCCCCTTGGCTCACGGAGCACTCCGTTACTGAGAGCTGAACGCCAGCAAGGTGGCTGGGCTTTTGGCAAATCAAATCCCTCGTTAAGTGTGGGAGAAGCACATTCTCTCCAAGGCATCCTCCCAAGTCCTCTGGAAGCACCAGGGGCCAAGTGTGCCAAAGGACGTTCAGAATCTGGCCGCCTGGGCTGCGGGGTGCGAGGAGGGTGGGCTTTGTAGCTGAACAGACCTGTATGTCCTTGGGTAGCGAACAGCCTCTTGGAGCTGCTTCTGTGGCACCAGGCTTACCCTGCGGGAGGGTGGTGGTGGGCCTAATGGCAGGCCACCTAGGAAGCTCCTAGCATGTTTGTGGCCCTTAGGGACATCAGTTCCCTTCCCCTCCATGACAAAGATGCCCCGAACTGGCCAGTCATGTGGCCTGGGCAAGCCCGTCCCCTTCTCAGGCCCTGGAGGATACAGCTGAGCTGGAAGTTTCCCTCCAGGGCATTAAGCCAGTGACTGTTTTTGTAAATTGAATCATGAAATCAAACCACTGGCCCCTGACTTCTCTGCAGCCAGTTTGCATTCTCACGTCCAGGCCAGCACTGGTGGGTGGTGGGCTGCAGTCCACACGGGAGCTGACCCCAAGCCTACCCCCTGCCCGAGGAGGTGGAGACTGAGGGAGCCGGGGAGGAGCGTGGGCACATCCTGCTGTCGCTGTGCTACAGCTCTCAGCGGGGCAGCCTGCTGGTGGGTGTGCTGCGCTGTGCCCACCTCGCCCCCATGGACGCCAACGGCTACTCGGACCCCTTTGTCCGCCTGTGAGTGTGAACAGGGGTGGACAGGTGGACAGTGAGGGTTCCTCTGAGCCGCTCAGGGCTCAGCTCTCCAGGGCCACACCTAAGCTGACCCCGTTCTTCCCGATCAGTTACCTGCATCTGGATGGAGGGAAGAAATCAAAATATAAGACCAGTGTTCGGAAGAAGACCCTGAACCCTGAGTTCAACGAGGTAGGCCAGGGCTGGGGGGAGGCAGTCCTGGCTGCTGGGGGTGGGAGGAGGGGGGTCAACATCCTGCCTCCGAGAGCACAGGCCCCAGCTACCCTGAGCCATTCACCTGTCTGAGTCTGTTTCTGAGGCTGTGAAGGACCCAAGGCTGCCTCCCTCCTGCCTTTCTGCCCCCTTCCCTGCAGGAATTCTTCTGCGCAGGCCCACAGGAGGAGCTGGCGCAGAAGACACTGCTGGTGTCTGTGTGGGATTATGACCTGGGCACAGCTGATGACTTCACCGGTGAGTGGGAATGTCGGGGAGCTGGGGGGTGGGCCCAATGGACTCCCACACGGCTCCTGACCTGTCCCCCAACCCAGGCAGGGTGCAGCTGAGTCGTCAGGCCAGCAGGGAGCGCCAGCAGCACTGGCACGAATGGCTGGGCCGCACTGACCACCAGCTGGAGCCGTGGCACCCGCTGGACGGCGCGCGCCTCCGGCTCAGCGACTAGCGGGGGCACCCGGCCTGGCCCTGCTCACCGCCCGTCCCCGAGACTGACCCGCGGCCGCCTCCATGGAGCTGCGAGGACCTGGGGCTGCCTTACCCACCATGTCCACCCCTAGTCAATTGCTTCCTTCCTTCCCCCGTTTCAAATTCACCCCACTGCCAAATCATGAAGCAAGAATAAACCTCTCCTCCAAACCAGACCGGACAGTCAGTTCTTTCCCTGCCCATCGCCTCACAGGGCAGACCAGGCCCTGTCCCCCTTGCTCCCATCCTCCAGAGGCCTGCACTGGGCCAGGTCCAGGTCTGCACCCCAGGCCACAGTTTCCCCATCCCCACCCGCTTCTTGCACTGAGGGGTCAATGCTCAGGATGGTCTACGACAGACTGACGCACAGGAGGCCAAGTGTAAATTCACAACGAGACCTTGTGCTGACCTATCCCTCCCAAACCTCCACCTCCATCTGGGAAATAAGCCTCCAGGAATAATGGGCCGCAGAGGCAGAGTGAAGAGCAAGGCCACAGAGAAGACGCACCGAGTGGGCAGCACTTGCTTTATTGTCCAGCCGTCCAGGCAGGTGGATGCCGGCCCAGCGCGGCGGGCTCAGGAAGCGGCTTGCCTGGCCTGGTGCTGCTGGGCGAACTGCTGCATCCGCTCCTCGAGCTCCGGCCGGAAGTGTCGGATCAGGCCCTGGGGGTGAGGGTCAGGGTGCTGGGTGCAGCAGGGCTTGAAAATCCCCCAACGCCTGGGCTCTCAGCACCGCCCTCAGCACCACGCAGCAGGGCAGCAAGTACCTGCACGGGCCAGGCAGCTCCGTCGCCCAGGGCACAAATGGTGTGGCCCTCTATCTGCTTGCTGATCTCCCACAGGGAGTCGATCTCAGCCGGCCGGGCGTCCCCCTTCACAAAGCGGGCCATCACCTTGTTCATCCAGTCCACACCTGAGCCGTGGCAGCAAGAGAGGGCCTGGTGATCTCCCTAAGCCGGGGTGGCGGGGGATGGAACTCGAGGTGTGCGGGCCACAGGGAGGGTGGGGCTCAGAGCAGCCACAGCAGGCTGGGAAGCAGCAGCTGTTTATTCAGGGTCCAGTGCCCGGCCCAGGCCTGGCGCGAGCCACAGAGAAAGCCCCCAGCCTGCCCAGCGCGCTTACCCTCACGGCATGGGGTGCACTGGCCACAGCTCTCGTGCTTGTAGAACTCGGTGAGGCGGGCGATGGCTTTCACAATATCCGTCTGGGGAGACAAGGGACAGTGAGGAAGCACCCAAGGCCTGAGCCTCAGCGCCCCCGGCGGCACACCCTCCTGATTCCAGCGGCACTCGGGCTGTCTCCTCCCCCTGCCGTGGGAATCCCACCCTGCCCAGGCTCCACGGGCATGTCCCCCAGAGAAGCCTTGCTCCCCACCTCTCCCACCTCACTGCATCTCAGGTGACACGAACCAGGACCCAAGAGCTGGCAGGAGTTCTCCGAGAGGCCCCAGAAGAGTTACTAACCAGACTGGCATAAGGCAGGGACTGGGTGGGGAGCATGGGTCAGCCCTTACCGAGCGGTCCATGACGATCACGGCAGCTGTGCCCAGGCCCGTCTGCGCCTGCACCAGTGCGTCGAAGTCCATCAGCACCGTCTCACACACGGACTTGGGGATCAGTGGGGTGGACGAGCCGCCAGGAATCACAGCAAGGAGGTTGTCCCAGCCACCCGTGACACCCCCTGGGGCCCCAGTCAGTCCCCAAAAGGATGGATGGTCAGGGCTGGGGCCGGCACACCTGCCTAGCCCTGAGCCCAGGACCTCTGCTAGCCCCAGCCCCGGCTCCTGAGGCTCTCCCACCCTGCTGGCTGGCCCCAGGCCTCACCGGCGTGCTTTTCAATCAGTTCCTTCAGCGGTATAGACATCTCCTCCTCCACAGTGCAAGGGTGGTTGATGTGGCCAGAAATGTTGAACAGCTTGGTGCCTGAGTTGCGTTCGCGGCCAAAGCTGGCAAACCATGCACCCCCTCGGCGGCAGATGGTAGGGGACACGGCCACTGTCTCCACATTGGCCACGGTTGTAGGGCAGCCGAACACTCCTGTGGGGGAAATGGGATGAGAAATCAGTGGCTTCCAGTGGGTGGGGACAGGTTGCGGCGGGTTTCCCGGCAATGGGGTATGTCCAGGGTCCTGCTCCGGTGGCAGAGAGCCCTGCTTTCACCCCTTTGTTATTCTCGTCCCCCACCGGACCCCGGATTCCAGCAGGAGCTGCGCTGCCTTTTCACCATCCTGCCCCGATTTCCCGGAGGGTTGGGGAGGACTTGGCTATCTGACATGGGAGCTGAGGCAAGATGAGGGACTGCAGGTGGCACTGGTGGAGCCTCTATGTTTCCACCCTGCTCTCTGTGTCAGGCGCCCAGTGCAGAAGGGACTCAGAAATTCCCTAATGACCAGGGGGGACCTGAAACCAGATCCCGGACTCCACAGGACACAGGACAAGGCCCAGGATCGGGCCAGGTGCCAGGTCTTACCCACGTCTGCAGGGAAGGGAGGCTTTAGGCGGGGCTTGCCCTGCTTGCCCTCGATGGACTCGATGAGCGCTGTCTCCTCCCCGCAAATGTAGGCCCCAGCCCCACGCACCACAAACACGTCGAAATCATAGCCGGAGCCGCAGGCATTCTTGCCAATCAGACCAGCCTCGTAGGCCTCTCGGATGGCTACCTGTGGGACAGGGGTGTGAGGACACGGTCCCCAAGGGCCCAGGAACACTGTGTGTGGGAGGGAGGGGCACTGGCCCAGTGAGCCCATCACCAAAGTCCAGAGCAAAAGCTCCCTTTGGACACAAGCAGAGGACGCTCTGGGCAGGGGTGGGGATTTTTACGATGCATGTGCTACTTCTATAATAACATTTAACGAATTCTCCAACTATATGTATTTTTAAAGACTTTAAGAAAATAATGAAAATTTCAGCAAGTAGTTTCTCCAGGTGGTGGACGTGTGGAGTTTCCTTTTGTGTGTGTGTGGTTTCCCATCTTCATAATGAACGAGTACTGCTTCTGAGTAGAGGAAAAGGCCCTGGAGGCTTATTTTAAAATATGTAATAATAACAACACTTACACATAATGCTACCATGTGCCAGGTTATTATTCCCACATCCTTCATCACTGTTGTGTAGCAGCCTAATAGAAAGGTGAGGCTTTGGTCCTGGACCAATTACTACAGGCATCACTGAGCTGAGAATTACTGAAATGACCCCCTGATCCTCCAGGAAAAATGCTCTATGGGAGTTCTCCAGCCTGCCCCTGCCCCAGGAGTCATGGAGCCCTGGAAGGAGTCATGGAGCCCAAGCGGAAGCTCTGGAACATACAGAAAGAGACAGAGGCATCGGGGGCCACGTCCCGTTCAGGACACAAGGCATGCAGGAGTGATCACCACTCTCCTAGTGCGACCCCAGACAGATCAGGAGCTAAAATCTAAGAACAACTCTGCCTAGGACTGGGGCATGTAAGTGCACACTGAGCACCTTCTCCTCTGTTGACGCCCCACCTCTGCCCACCTGCAGATTGGACGCCTCATTGTAGAATTCCCCGCGGATGTAGATGTAGGCGGCACGGGCACCCATGGCCCGGCCCCCCACTAGGCAGCCTTCCACCAGCTTGTGGGGATCGTGGCGCATGATCTCCCGGTCCTTGCAGGTGCCCGGCTCCCCCTCATCTGCATTCACCACCAGATACTTGGGCCTGTGGGGGCCAGCAGGTCAGTCAGGCTACAGGGCCACCAGGGTTGGGCCTTCAACCACATGCCACCCCACTCTACCCAGGGAAGCCTCCTCTGACAGCCAATCCCTCTTTGTCCTCCTGACATGTTCCCAGGGGCTCTGCTTGCTCACCACCGATGACAGGGAGCTCACTGCCTATTCCGTATTTGGGTGGCTATGACCACAGGAAAAATCTTTGTTCTGTCCAAATGCCAAATGTCTCTCCTAGTGCTTTCCCAAGAGCCCAAATCTGCTTTTGGTCACAAAGAGCATTCCGTGAACCTCCACCATATCTCTGGAGCCAAAAGGAGGCAAAACAGCTGACATTTAGCCTTTGCTTTCTATGTGCCAACCAAAGTGCAGGCCAAAAGCTGTACGAACATTGTCTCTTTCATCCCTGCACAATATAATATTTACAGAATAGAAAATTGAGGTTCGGAAAGGCCAGGAGACTGCCCAAAGATATATGATTAAAAGGCAGAGCTAGGAATTGATCAGTTAAGTCTGACTGAGTCAAAATTTTGTGTTGATTCTGCTACCCCTCTAGTCTCCCCTGAGGAAGACCAGAGAGAACTGAATCCCACCTACTTGAGCTCTGGTTATGTTTTCCCACTTCATTCACTCTTAGTTTCCAAGGAAACAGCCCAAAGGCCCAGGTAAGCCACAGCCACCCCCAAGGTCTCTCCTGCAACCCCATTTCTGCCTGCCTACACACACCTGCCATCTGAGGGCTTATTCATGAAGCTCCATTTAAGGCCAGTTGGGAAGCCAGCACCTCCACGGCCCCGCAAGCCCGACGTCTTGACCTCACCCAGGATCCAGTCAGGCCCCTTCAGCAGAATCTCCTTTGTCTTGTACCAGTCACCTCGACTCTGGGCACCTTTTAGCCTGGACAGAGTGGGGAAGGCAGTAAGGGGGAGGCCCTGCCTCGGGAACCACCAGCCTAAGGGCACCATCTCACCTCCAGTCATGGCGGCCATACAGGTTGGTGAAGATCCGGTCTTCATCCTTCAGCGAGCCAAATGAGGTTTTCTTGGGTGCTGTCTGGGGACACAGAGGGTCAGCAGGCCCAGCAGAGCTCTGGGGTCACGAGGGGCCAGGCCAGAAGGTACAGTTTTGAGTCCCCCTGATTAGAGAGGGCTGGGCTGGGAGAAGGGCAGGGGCCTAAGCCTCAGAACCCTTCATAGCATCACAGCTGACATCACCACTTATTAAGCACTTCCTGTTAGCAGGCACGAAACTAAGTTTTCTAAATCCAAGACCCGATTTCATCCTCATAACCCTGA